TAGATTATGTAGATGCTAAGGGAAGTCTGATTATGATAATAAAGATATCCTATGATGGTGTTGTTTGTTACTATTTTTATGGTATTTAGTGATTTCCTAGTTTTACTGAATTTTCTAGAGAATATGTTAGCTAGAGAGAAAGAAAGAAAATTTCCTAGTTTGGTAGTTTAGACGGAGAGAAAGTAGCTATTTAAAGATGAGATTGTCTACAAAGAGACCATTCACCATTTGTAGAAAGAGGTCACAACTATTCTCACTCATTAAATGTTAAATTAGATGATTTGGGGTGAGTCACAAAGTCCGATAATTTTTCTTTGAAACTTTGTGTCTATCAATGACACTCTTACAACCACCCATTTTGAAATCTAAGAAACTAGAATGATTGTGACCTCCTTGTACAAAAAGTAAATGGTCTTTTTGTAGACAATCCCTTTAAAAATAGAGATAAAGGAGTTATGTGAAGTTCAAAAACAAAAAAATAAAATAAAATGTGTCTTGTGAGCTGCTAGGCTTGTCCTTGGTTTGCAAAGGTTCCAGTAGAGGTTGGTTCAAAGTGTGGTTGGTTGAGTATGGGTTAGGTTAAATATGGTTTAGGTTATGCGTGGGGTAGATTAAGTGAGTTCGTGTAGGCTAGGTGGGTTTGGTCAGAGTATGCTAGGTTTGTGTGGATTAGGCTAGCTTAGGTGAGCTAGGGTTGGTTCGTGTGGATTAGGCTAGCTTAGGTGGGCTAGACTGAGTTCGTGTGGGTTGGGCTAGCTTAGGTGGGCTATGTTGGGTTCGTGTGGGTTAGGCTAGTCTAGGTAGGCTAAGTTCGTATAAGTTGGACAAGCTTAGGTGGGCTAGGCTAAGTTCATATAGGTTAGGTGGAAAAAGGGGGTGACCGAAATCCAATAACCTTTTAGCATCACCTCCCTTAAGAGATATATCGATGACGGTAGAAAGTTACTAGGCGAATGACCGAAGTACCTTGGAGACAATTCCAAGGGAAGAACCCGGGACGAACCCGGTGGCACTTCCCAAGGCGAAAGCCTACTTGGAGAATAGGGTACGGTTTAAGTAGGGAGTAGGGTAGAGTGGGGTGTATGGTCTAGGAAGGGAGTAAGGTAGAGTGGGATGTACGGTCTAGATAGGTAGTAGGATAAAGGGAGGGGTAATCTCTTTGCACAAAATCCCTCTCTCCTCTCAGAAGTTTCAACAAAGCACAAAGCAAAGAAGACCTCCCTCTAGGTTTAAGCCTTTTTCATTGATTTTTCAATCATTTTTCAAGCTTTTTAGCATTACATTCAATGGGGTTTATATGGAGGTCACTCTTTAAAAAAGGGTGTATACTCAAAACCCATGAAGATTGTTGTAAAATAAAAATAACAAAAATAAAATAAAAATTCGAAATAATAGAAAAATTACCCTCTTCCCATCCACATGGCATGAAGCCTTCTTTTGGCTTTTCCAGTGGCATTTATGACGATCTATCTTATTGAAAATATAGATCGTGACGAGGTGATCGTTTTGCTATACGATTTGCATCATATTACGGAGTTTTGAGTATGTTCTCAATACTTTTCATTTTCTGGTTTTTGTACAAACTTGATTTTCCTTTTTTGCATGATCTTATAAAAAATGCGACGTTTATTGCTTTGTTTTTGCCGGCAAATCAAAGAGGACGCAGTCACGGTCGTTTAGCAAAAAAAAACCATGTGAAATGACCTCTAATTGGCCCTTTGGGTTTCCTGCAAATCGTCAAAAAACCACTTTTCTGGCGCCTCAAAATTCATGTCCAACTTGAAAGCTCTGAACGGGCATCTTCTCGGATCTCAATCATGGTGGTTCTTATCTCAAAACAAAGCTCATCGAGCTATAATCGAAACACACTTGTTTTGGGGTCGATCCAACCTCTGAGGATCGCGTTACGACCATCGGAGTGAGGATAGGTCACACACACTGAGTTTCTACATAAACCCGATTTTTGCGACCTTCTCTCTAGGATATCTCTCACTATGGTCGTCGATCATGTCTGTGGCATATGTCAAAAGTTCGTACTCGTCGAGGAGCACGATATTCGAATTTGAGCTCGATCCTCTTCACAGATCATGAGATTTGAGCATAATAAGTTTGCCCCAGTTTTTTAAGAAGGCATGAGGCTTTTACTATTTCTAGAAATTGGTTTAGCTTATTTTCTTGAATAGTAAACAACCTACCCATTTAGGGAAAGTATGATTTTGAAAAGTCCATTTGGAGTGAAACTTGGCAGTCAAGGATTTTTCAGCCTTCTAAAGCTACCTGTGGTGGTCTGGAGACCATTTGAGTTGGTGGACACTATACACGTATAGAGTACAATACTCCCAAATTGTGTCTTGTTCTTGTTTCTCTGCACCTTCCCCTGATTGGGGTGAAACTTGGGGAATGACTTCGGGGTATCAAAGGCCACTCTTGTGCAATTTTTCCGACAGAGGTGATGTCTTTGCCGAGACTCTTCAAAATTTGAGCTTATTCCATGCTGGCTTTTGTAGTCCTTAGGACATATCTGGAGCCTAAAGGCCGTGGTTACAACAGCCTCCTCTTTTATTCACATAGGGTGAAGGTGCGACAATAATACGCACCATCAAAATAATTATATAAGAATGGGCTAAGTTAGATTTTGAGCCAAGCTCAAGAAGGATTAGGTCGATGCTCAATCCAGTGTGGTCAACTCGGGTTCTATGGATGTTGGAACCTTTTTTGTTTTTAAAGGTACCGAAGAGACGAAATATTTTGTAGCAGTTAGTTGGAAACTCTGTGTAGTTCTCTCTACCTGAATGTATACACTAGTAGGCCGCACGGCACATTTTCTTTTTATACGAAAGAATACTAACAATGCAATAATGAATAGCAACTATTATTTGGGCATGTACCCTCAACATACGAGCTGAGTGGAGATGTAAACATGAGATGCGCCCTTAGTTGGAGGGCACACCATAGGCTTGATTGCACCCTCTTTATGATTGTATCACAACCTCTTCATGAGAGGGTGTTGGATAAGGTTACACCTTCTTTATGAGGGGGTCATCCCCGTATGAAGGCGTATGCACCACGCATTTTAATGGCTTCCACATTTATGAGGGGGTGACACCCATATGAATGAGGGTACGAGAGGGAGATTTCTTTCTTTATAAAAAGGAGAGGTTTGTAGATCTCAAGAGAAGAGGTGTGAGAGTGTGGTGTCTCCATTTTTTTTGCAAAGAGAAACCCAACCATCAAGAGATAAACAAGTTGTATGTGAGATAGTCGAGCTTGGACTTGCTCCTCGTCTTGTAAGTATCATATTTATTATTGTATTTGTGAGATTCCATCTCACTTGGCAGCTCTAGTTGTTCTGTTTTACCTACATGAGTCAATCCTCCCTTTCCAAATTTATTTATGGAAAGGAGTGTAACAAAGACCGTCGGATTGACTAATGACTGATTGCAAGCACTTAGGTGTGATACTCAGTTTTCTTCTTGCTCAAGATTTCTGCTGAGCCTGTTGGACCCGTTCTTCTTCTAATAGTGGCCATAAGATTTTTGTTGAGAGGCATCGTACCTTTATATATAATCCTTATGGTCAACTCTAATTTTTTCTCTAATGTTGCATAACGTGGGATATTTAATACTTGGCATTAGATGATAGTGATGTACATAATAATATGTGTATGTATTTTATCACATGACATGTGATGATCTGTTACATACAACCTTTCATCTATTTGACTTGTTTGAATGCGTTTGATGAGGTGTTAGCTTCATCGTTTCCTTATATATAACCTATCATCTCCTATTAAAATTTGGCAAATGTATATTAAGACAATTTATTTTTGATATAAGAAGGTCACAATCATTTATAACCGTTAGATATGAAATCGGGACATCAATAATGAGTCACAAAGTTTGAAAAAAAATTAGAACATTGTGCACAATCAATGACACACTCTTGGTCATTTGATTTATTTGACAACTAGGAGTGAGGTATTAGCTCATCGTTTCCTTATATATAACTACAATCTCCTATTAAAATTTGGGAATGTATATTAAGACATAATTTATTTTTGGTACAAAAATGTCACAATCATTTATAGCTATTAGATATAAAATCAAAACATCAATAATAAGTCAAAAAATTCAAGAAAAAATTTAGAACATTGTGCACAATCAATGATACACTCTTGGTGATTTAATATATTTGACAGATAAGAGTGAATGTAACCTCCTTGAGTAAAAAGTTCATGGTCTCTCATCTTATACTTTCTCTTCAAATTTTATGGACCTCTGTCTCTCTCTCTTTTGAATGAATGTAATGAGATTTTTTCTCTTTCATCCTGTAAAAAATTTGATAATCTCATTGACATCATGCATGTATTGTATTTTGATGTCCTCATGTATGGATGTATTTCGATCGGATACTCATCATTTTGAGCAAAACGATGAACGTCCTTCTTATGGGAATACAAGCTTCCTGGTTTATTAGATACTCATGAAAAAAAATTTATTTCGTCCAAATTTTGAAGAAATGCATGGCTGTTTCACATTTGAGTAAGAGATGTACTTGTCTCTATTCAGAATTATTATTCTCATATTGGAAGACATCAGAATTTGATGTTGTGGTTTTAGACAGGTTTTTTTTAATATGCAACTCAGAAACTCAAGATCTGGTATTGAACTGGTTTGTATCCTGGGAGGGTGCTCATCAGGACCCTTACATCTCAGCAACTACTTCAACTCTGAGGCAATCAACACTTATAATGAAAGATAAATCATCTTATGCTTCCGGATCCTTTTACTTTATGTTGTATATAACTTAAATGTTTATTCTTATAACCCTGAAACCAAACCTAAAATATCATGTTTAACTAGACTATAGAGTATTCTTAAATACTCATTTAAAAAGTTAAAAGAGAATCTCCCAAAATTTAGTTACAAGAAAATTTCCAAAATAACACTCATACGTAAATTACATAATAAAAAAGAAAGATCAAACTTCAAATGCACGACTGTCAATTAGTAACCTAATATGTAATAAATGATTACATTGCTAAAATTATTACATTTTCTTTTTGCACTTCCATTTTTTCTCATGGAAGCGGGAAGGAGTTGAAAACTCAAAAAGAACATGATCATGTATCTGACAATGTTTCCCTGCAAGTATGAGATAGAGACATAATGATCAATTCTCAGAAACATCACCAGATCTTTCTAATGAATGTCTCATGAGATAACCAAGATCAAAATGGATCAATAACCAGAACTTAAGCTAAACAAACATTTGCAGATGAGGCCTACAAGCCTGGTTTCTAGTGATTCATGAAGAAATGTTCTTCCCTAATCCATGGGCCTCCAACTGGTTCAGAAAAGTGTGTTCTCCCTTATCGAACAGAGCAAATTCACGTAATCTGAATCCCCAATTATACACCAAAATGGAAAAAGTTTAAAAAACTTAACAGTGAGAATCATGCAGCAGGAAGTTCATCCCAAATAGTCTCCAGATCTAATGAGGGCATTCTACTCAATAGAACCTCATCCATATCAGACCAATCAGACTTACTTGGAGATTCTTGGTGGGTTTCCTTCTTCACTTGATTTGAGGGAGCTGTGATCGCTGTATCTTGATGAAGAGGTAGCTTGGGTTGGTCAATGACTTTTTGGGTCTCTTTCTGAGGAGTCAAACTCTTATTAAAAGCTTGCAATTTTGCATCTAAAAGTGCAGCAGTTGCAGAATGAGAGGAAGAACCATTTGAATTAGCCTTCAGCCTATGCTTAAGGTCTGGAAAATTCAAGTGCGCATAGTCTCCTCTGAGTTTATAAGCGGCTGTGTCATAAGCTAATGCGGCTTCTTCTGCAGTATCAAAGGTACCCAACCAAACTCTGGTTCTGTTCCTTGGTAATCTTATCTCTGCAACCCACTTCCCCCAATGCCTCTGCCTCACCCCTCTGTAAAGCTTGGGAGATGAAGATTTAGGGCCCTCCAATGGTCTTCCCATGTATTTCATGCGTTGGGTTTTTGGCCCAAGAAAGTTTGGCAATTGCCCATGTCCACCATTGCTTTGTTTACTCTGAAGATGGTAGACATTTGATGGAGAACTCGCAAACCTGTGATGGGTTTGAAGCCACCCAAGACCTAGCTCTTGCTGCTTTCGAAAGAGCTGAAGCTCAATCTGACAAAGATCTAAATTTGGAGTGGTTATGGGTTCACAACTCTGGTTTTTAACTACCTGAGAGTCTTGAAGAGTCTCAGGGATTTGTAGACGTAAAACTGGTGCGGAGGGTGTTGTAGAAGACGAGGGTGAAGAAGAAGGTGGATCATTTAAACCGAGTTGGGTTTGATTTGATTCTAAGTTAGGATTAATGGAGTTCACTTTTGTGGAGGAAACGCCATTAGAGTTCAGAAACCTCAAGATAGCGCTAATAGAGTTAATGGGCTGCTCAGGTACCTTCTCTTTGCCGATTCCTGTGGTAGGACACAATGAAGACTGGTTTGCCTTTCCCATCAAATAACTGTTTGGGAATTGTTCATCAGATCTATTGGCCCCTCGACATGCCGACTCTGCAATGACATTCAACACAAGTGGATCAGCAATTAGGCTTTTCCCGGCCATTGCATGGAAATAACAAGGCAATTCTTTTTGCACATATCCTGCAATCTCGAAAGCCTGCTCTTCCATGTGATGTCCTGAACTTCTAGGATAGTTATCTGGGTGGATCTCAAGTTGAAACTACAAATTTCCAGCACATATAGTGGCACTCCCTTAACAAGAGTATGAATGGAAGTGGAGGCAATAGAAACGGGGTTGAAGAGAGAAGAAATAAGACTGAGCTCAATGGAGTCACAGAGGGAAGAGGGAGGAGAAAAAACACAATGAACCCAAGATTTCCACCCAACACCTAAATGATTATATTTAAGCATTTGACATCCTGGGTTTAAGTTACTAATGGGCCTTTAAAGGACCCACAAACTGTTGTAGGGAATTAATAATCATGTTAGTCATATCCAGAAGGTGGAGGGTTTGCTTTATATCCCTTTCTCATACAGTTTGAAGGCCCCATCATCCCCTGCAATTTCGTGCTTCACATACTCAATGTCGCTAAGAACCAATCGAAACCTGACAGCTCATACCATAACATCCTTATTCCATCTTTGGGCTTCTTTCTTTTGGCTGATCCTTGTTCCATTGGGGCATATAGAATATGACTGTGACATGGAGCCTCAGACCACTTTTTGCTGTTAGTTAACAGATCCTTCTTGGTAATCATGTGCTTTCCCTTGAGACCCATTTGTCCTTTCCAACTTTTACTGTTTGGTCCAATAAAATAAGCCATAATTGATCCCATAAGCAGGCTTTCATTGCATATTCTAATGACTATAGATTTGGACCATTTTTTGTGGACCATATATGCATCTAGTTACTAACATAAGAGACGAGGCCATTAGCTTATTGCATTCCACTAAGCATAAATCCAGGAAGAACAAGAGCTTCTCTCTTGTTCCTACTTCTTACTTTCTCTCGTGGGCTCGTCTCACTAATCGAGCCCATCCAAAATCAAGTGAGAGAAGAGAATATTTTTTACCCTTTTGGGTTGACATCGAGAATTTAACAACTATCTTAGTAATGGCTACCAAACAGAGAGTAAAATAATTACCAGTGTCATCAGAGTACATAAGCATGCATTCTTTATTGATGTAAGTTTTGTCATACAATGGTTAAGAGACGCAATCAGATTTAACTTTGATGAGGACAGATATAGGAATTTAATTATCTCGTAAATTATGTTTAATAATTGGCTTTGCACTTTATAATATTACCATTAAAATATCAAATTCCATTCTTATTATTATAATTTTTGGCCCTTCCTTTGCTTCACTGAACCAGAGTGACCTTTGGGATCAGCAGGGGACTGCTGTATTATTAAGTTACATTCACCATTTGGCTTCTGGTTTCTTATCATTAGCATCCTATATTCCAAATTGGTTTGAGAAATCTGAAAAATTTAAGCAAGAAACCAAAGATTATTCTTTGCACTAGACCACTCGGTACAAACTCGATAAGCAAGATCAGGTATATAACGACAATCTATGACGAAGATTATATGATAACCAAAGTATGGACAATTAGAAAACAGGAGGAACAATATCACAAGTTCCAAGATTAAAAGAATTATATTCTGTTTAGCCTTTTTCCCTGTAAAATATGAATGTCCTACTCAGCTAAGTTTTTGACAATTATTTTAATCACATTGCACATGGTTCAGGGCATGCACAGGTTAAATGGCTGATGATTAGAGAGAAGCAGCAGCCATGTTAATGTTTCTTCTTTAACCTCAATGCATATCAATATTCAATTTTGTGCATCAGGCCTGTAAACCAACATGGAAAGAAAAAGGTTAACATATAATATAATAGAGCACACCATTGAATATGAGGTAAAGGAGAGTATATTAAGAGACAGATGCAACTGCAATTGCCATAAAGGGAATTGTTAATGTTGAACATGCAAAATTTTTAGAGAGAGAGAGAGAAAAGAGGCCATCTGACCAACCATTAGATGACAAATCAAGGCTTCTAGTGAGGACCCAATTATGGTTCCTGCACTTTCCTTGTGGCTCACCTTCAAATATAGTAATGCTTTCTCTGCAGAGGATAAAACTTGTCTAGAATAGGCCACCAAGTTATATGGACATGATACCTATAACTTTCATTCCATGATCAAGCATGCCAGTCTCTGTTGCAATTTCAAAGGACTTGGCAGATATGAGCTTCTGTTAATATTATATTTTTCTTCTTGTTCTTGTTTGGTTCAACATGCTTGGCAGTTGTGAGATGCTGGATGCTGTCAAATTAACCCGCATAACAACCAATGAAGCCTTTACGTTAAAGCCACTTACCTTCCATTAACAAGAACTGTGTAGTGAGTGTAACAGTTTATTTAATTCCCAACTGTGAAATGAAGCAATAAACTAGAGGGAGAGAGATGTAGATGAAAAAGTACACCCATGTTGAGCTTCCCCTAAAATTCTCTCTCTCTCTCTCTAGAAGTTACCTTGGCATGAGGAGAAAGTCATGTGTCAACAATGGCCTTGTGAAATTCATACTTTCATACCCCATGTTCCCTCTTTCCAAATGAGTCTACCAGGACCCACATTTGGGTTTATTCTTTCCTTCTTTGAGGCTCTTTTTGGTTTTTCAAGGGAGATGGAGTGACCCACTTTTACAATTATTTAAGGGAAAATAGGAAAAAGGTAAAGGAATTGCAAAAAAGTAGAAAGCCCTAGATTCAATGATTCTTACTTTAGTTTTACACCACATATTTTTATCATTCTGGCATAGTTCCATTTCACTTGGGTTTCATTTTCATCCCAAAAGTTCACATGGTTGTGTGCATGTGCATGTGCATATTTATGGGAATATAATCCAGCTGGTCCCATTGAACTTTTCTTCAACATACACCCCCCTTCTCATCATCAATACCCAGACCCTTCACCATCAAAAGATTCAGCTTTGCCCCAATATTTGGGCTAGAGAGCTAAAGGGTTTTAAGGAGGGCCTCATGAATCCTATGATTCCCAATTCTCAAGTGCTCAAATGTTAGAGAGAGCTAAGTTAGTATCCATGTAGACATTATTGGACTAACACCCCATTAGGGCCTATGAAATTTAACTAATGTTTTATTATGGGACTATTTATCAGTAATAGGCATCCCGGTTTGACGATTCACTATTCATAAGATAGCATATTTTATGTATCTTTATTATTGCCAAAAGACTTATAGAACTACTGACAAAAAAAAAAAAAAAAAAAAGTCAAAAGGGAAGTAAAGAAACACCATTCTCTTGATCCCATAAAAATATATATAAATTTGGGAGTGTATACAATGAGATCATTTACTTTTGATAAAAGGTGGGTACAATTACTTACAACCTTGCGTTATGAAATTTGATAGCTTGGATGTATCAAAAATTTGAAAAAATTTCTTTTGAAGTTTGAGCTTGGTCAATGGAATAATTACAGCCAGCGATTTTCACATCCAATAGTCAAGATTAATGTGACCACCTTATACCAAAGTTAAATGGTCTCATTCTATACTTTTCCTATAAATATTTTCAAAATTCTCCCCTAAAGATAAATATAGCCATTTCTTTGTACGACTATAGGCGTGTCCAAAGGGGACTTAGAAGTGTTTGAATGATGAAATCATTACAATCAATTAAGCACTACATGATGATAGGTATTTGAATACCCACCTAAAACATATACATACAAAGACATATACACACATATGCATACAGCAGTAATGAATGACACATACATGTATATACATACATAACATACATGCAATACCCACATAAAATAAATACACACATACAAAGAATACGTGTAGCCAATTAGTGAGTGTTATGGAACATAACTAGTAATAAAGAAGCTTATCCCGTGAGAAGACTAACTTGTACTTTGGGCCATTCCCCCTTCATCTACACGAGTACCATCATGAAGACCACCAACTGAACTTTCCTTATGTCTGTAGATTAGTATTAGTGCTGCATTATTATAGTTATTTATTAAGCCCACTGTTTTATTATATCCTCATTATTTTTATTTAAGCCGGGACAGCTAGAGCTATGTGTTTTTAAGAGAAAAAGGCATCAGAAATATATAGGTGATATATATATATATATATATATATATATAAGAGATGAGAATCAGGAGACAAAGGTTAGGTTTGAGAATTAAACAAAATGCGTTGTTGACACTAAGTGACATGAAGTGTGCAAGTCAGGACTCCCTTTGTTTTGATTCCTAGAGAGAGAGAGAGAGAGATGTTTTCACAAGAAGTTTAATAATTCACATAAAAAATGAATGTGGGCATGAAGGAGGCCATTAGTTTAGGCAAACAGTTGTAGGAGTCATGTACTTTAGCTGGTTTATGAGGCTGTATTCATTCCCCTTAATTGGTGAAATTTCAGGATATGTTTGTATATTCAGAGCCTGGCTCTCACTCAACTTTTGAAAGGGAGATATGAAAAAACAAAGGGTGAACCATCACCACCAACTACAATCAACTACTCCATCAAAAGAGAAAATCGAGGTCTTGAATGTCCACTAATCTATCATTTGGTTTAACTAAACCAACTCCAAATTTAGAATCAAATGAAAGTAAGTTGAACAATGCACATCACATATTGGGCTTGTTGTGCTTGGTTGGGCCTATATGAGCAGTTTTTGCCACCTTGAGTGCTTTTGCCAAATTTAGGGGCAAGCTTATTTTTGGTGATTTGGGTATAAAGATTTAGGGCTTTTTACATTTGCCAAATTTGTGAGTATTATTTCGGTGGTTAGAGCACATCGAATGCTCCAATGGAGCATACTGTACAGTTATTCCTTTGGGCAATAGAGTTAGTAAGAAGATTTTTTGTTTTTTTTTAATATCAAACTTTGGGTTCCACGGAAGAATCACTAGGGCGTGTTTGTTTTGGTGGAACTTTTGGATAGTTGGAGGCCTATGAAAGTCACAAGTTGGAACCCATGGCTTTCACGAGCGTACCGAACAACACCCTTTTTTTTTTTTTATTAAAAATATTGGTTTATGGAAGCCACCCCTTCCATGTTACAAATGGAAGTGGCGGCTTCCATACTTTGTGGAGCAGCCCCCTCTTACAAAGAAACACACCCTAGATGATTATTTAAATAATCATCTATTTAAATATTAAATAATTTGAATTTGAGTTCACACTTAGAGATCTTACTATTTAAATATTAGATGGTTCGTGTTTAGGCAGCAAAGTTACTTCGAAATATTTTTTTTAAATCTCAAACTTTGGGATCCATGGAAGAATCACTAGGGCGTGTTTGTTTTGGTGGAATTTTTGGATAGTTGGAGACCCATGATCATGGAAGTCACAAGATGGAACCCACGGCTTCCACAAGTGTACGAAACAATGCATTTCTCTAAAAAAAATAAAAAATGTTGGTTTATAGAAGCCATTTCTATGCTTCAAATGGAAGGGGCGGCTTACATACTTTGTGGAAGAAGGGCTTTTGGTAGCCCTCTCTTACAAACAAACACACCCTAGATGATTATTTAAACAAAATTTGAATTTGAGTTCTTTTGTTTAAAAATTGGACAGTTTGTGTTCAATTTTAAAATATTATTTCTTTCAAACAAATATAGTGAGTTTTTTTTTTGAGATTGATTATTAGGTTTAAGAGGTTACATCCTCAAAATCGGGGATACTAAAATTATGCATATATTAGGTTTTATGTAAAGGAGCAAATGGACAATAGGCTTCCATGAGACCAGGAAGAGATTTTACTTAAGGCCACTAGTAAAATAAAATTGTGCTAGGGCAACATGCTCATTGTAAAGTTTTTATTTTTAGGTGGTTTTGGAATTGTATAAAAAGTTTTATAATTATTATTAACTGATAGATGTGAAATTGAGTGGTTGAAACTATAAAAGCTCGAAACAAAACATTTCGAACATTGTGACATGCTTCAATCTACCAGTTTTCACATCTAATGGTTAAAAATGATTGTACCTCTTAATACTATACAATCCCTTTACTTATCCTTGGGCCCTTGAATTTAGGGGAAGTCATTTAGTGCTAAAGGATTCCTGGTGGGTACCTAGGTGTTGAAGGGGTAGTAGCATAGAGTAGGGATGCTAACGCGCATGCATATGCAAAGGATATAGAAAGGAGGCATAAAAAATGAAAGTGAAAGGAGGTGAAAACCTTTGTTGAAAATGCAAGGATGGTCGGGTGGAGAGCACGTCCGAGGGAGCCCACCCTCTAACAAGACAACTTGTTCAAGGGAGAAGTAGCTTCTTTTCAAGGAATAACCCTCTTTAGCTGGTAACCACTTAAAAGAGTGATTTATGAAGCGGAATCCGAATCGGAATCAGATCCATTTGAATCGGAATCTGAAACGCAAGGGAATCCAACTAGCCGGGTCGGACTTGATCTGGTTTTTAGGCTGATTAGATAAAAAATATAATATATAAAACTTAGGTGATTTCAAGGTTCCTCAAATCAAAATTGGCGACCTCGTTATTTAGGTCCAACTCCAGTGATTTCGAGTCATACTACTTTAAATCACAAGTGATGTTGGAAAATGGTTGGTGAAACAGAGGCTTAATAATATAATGCGGAGGTTATAAAGAAATATGAAGAAGAATGAGAGGTCCCTCCTATTTTTCAGTCATGTTAAAACATGGGAAATTTACGTACATTCTTTTTTTAATATATACCAATAGCTTGAAAATTGGTCGTTATTATCCGGAAGAACGGATGTATTTTTATTTTTATTTATTTTTTACCAAGTTTTCCCTTTGCTTCGCTTCCCCCCTCGAGACTTTGCTCTCAATTTTTCTCTTATTCTCTCTCCTGATCTTGAGCCTCTCTCTCTCTCTCTCTCTCCGTTTCAAAAACCCCAAATTCTTTGTCCCCTTCTTCTGAGCTTTGTCCCTCTGAGTCGCCCTCGCCATGCAAAAACTCTTGACCAAAAAAAAGCTCTGGGTTTTCAGGGCGGGCACCTGAATTAGGCTTCTCAAGGGATGAGAAGAATTTTGCACCTGTAAAACCAAATGGGTTTGCAGGGTTGGAGCCAATGAGCTCATTTTGGGTAAAGCCATAAATTTTTAGGTTCTCGCCGTGGCATTTCTTGCTGCAAATGCAGGGCTTTTTAAGGTAGAGAAACAAATGCCTTGTTGATTTTGCAGGGGAGATATTTCTTGGTAGGGCTTTTTATCCACCTTCTCCTGCACAAGTAAATGCAGGTCTTTTAGGTTCTCTTCATGGAACATACACAGTAAGTGCATAACAAACAAAACGCATCCACTGATTCCCTTGTAGAAGACCAAAAAGAAACATGGGCTCAACTCAGAGTATCCCGAACTCAAAACCAATGCATTCACTCCCCATCAATGGCACTGGCGCCACCTTCGACAACCCCTCCTCAGCATAAAAAATCGTGATCACCATTAAAGAGAGAAAGCAGGGCACTAAGAATTTGGGGTTTTTGAAAGAGAGAGAGAGGCCCGAATTCAGAAGAGACATTATTCGAGAGAAGATAAAGAAATAGCCGTCTAAAAGATCAAACCCAGGGCAAATTTGACAAAAAAAAAAATTTGGATTCTATCAGTCTCGGTAATAAGAGGTCTATTCTAGGTAATAAGAGAGGGCTATTTTTGAATCATTGCATTATAACGGTATAAAAAATGGATCCATACATAAGTTCCTTTAAAACATTTTATCAAAACTATAATTGCCCCCTTTTCTAGATATATATCAATAAGTAAAAAAGTAAATTAGGCAAACTAGTCCTCGAGATTGAAAATAGAAAGTCATGATAGCTACCTCACCGGTTCATGCACTCAAACGACGAGCGTTTAAAGCACTAAAGTTGCCTCACCATAGAGAGGGAGAGAGTGAGCACAAATTTTAAAGAGAGAAAATCGGTAGGGATGTTAGAGCAGCAAAAAAAAAAAAAGTATTAAGAGAGAAAACGGATCGAAAATTGTGGGTAGGAAAGGGAAAAACGGATGCCTATTGAAAGCGGAAGGTTGCTTTCCAAGTGAACAGCGGTGCTGTTAGCAATGCAGTGCGACTGTTAGGAACCCAACAATCACCAATGGTCATAAACTATTATAACCATCGCGCCATTCTGGTGCACGCACACCAATCGATGTGTCGAAAAATAAGTCCAGTCGCGTCTTGCATCTTGTAAAACGATAGCGAGGTACAGGCCCGATCCGTGCAGGGGCCAAGGGTGTCTTTGCGAGCGCGCGTGAAGTATGAAGTACCCGCTTTCGCCCCGCACAAGCATGTGTGCGCATCGCACGCTTCGCATGCGTTGCATATGCAACCTCACTCAAATCCCTTTATTACTTGAACATAATGCTAGAAATAGTTTGTATTATATAAATACCACTCTTTTTTTACTCTATTCATAAGGGCGTCAGGAAGTGTCTTTGTGGAAGTTGAGAACTTCTTAGTACCGTTCTACTTTCGTGTTTGATAAAAAACGAGAACTTAAAATAAGAACTTCAGGTTACTATTCATCTTCTTACGTCCATTTATAAAAAAACGTTTTGACCCGAAAGTCGGAACTTAAAAATTGGAAGTTTGTCACTTCGTCCCCTTCGATAGCTTTTTCGCCGCCGAGCACCTCTCTCTTCGCCGCTGAGCACCCCTCTCTTCGCAGCTTCCCATCTTCACCGCTGAGCACCCCTCTCTTCGCAGCATGACCCCTGAGTTCAGCCACTGAGCCAGCCCTCTGTTCGCAGCACACTACGTCTTTAGGAAAACCCCTCGCTTTACAAGCAGCCCTAATCCTTGAGCTCTAATCCTTGCCATAGATCTTGAGGTATGCTATTGACTTGATTCTCTCTCTCTGTGTTATTGATTTCTGTGTTTGTTCTTGAGCTCTTGAAGCAAAGAACTCTCACTCTCAAATATGTGCTAGTTTTCCCCTAATTCTTCTCTCTCTCTCAATATGCTATTTTTGCCCTAATTCTTCTCTCTCTCATGGAACATAACCCTGTTTTGTGCCCTAACCGATACTTCATATGAGACTTTCAATTTTGCCTCATTTTGATCCATCGCTCTTTTTCTGGAACTCGTTGTTTAAATTTTTGCTCTGACATTCTCTCAGTTCTGCAATTTATTTGCAAGAGTTATTGATTTTGTTCTGCAATTTTTTTTGCAGTAGTTATTGAATTTGTGCATCTTCTGAATTGTGTTTACTATAGTTTGTGCATCTTCTAAATCTGGTGTTTTTCATTTGAAATTTGTTTGTCATTTTTGTGTTCTTTTAAGACGATGGTTCTGCATTAGCTTGGTTTTGAATGTTTTTATTGTTGTTTCTTGATTCTTGTATTTCTTTTGGATGCATTTAGAATTTATTGGACTTTGGGTTCTGTTATCTGTAGTGTTAATAAGGTATGGAGTTTTTTTATTGAACTTATCATTTTTATGTTCTTCTCTTCCAAATATACTTCTGCAAATGTTTTTTTTGAAATGTGTGATTTTTTGTTTGTTAGTTTCTTTTGGATTTGGAGGATATAATTAGGATGTACTGGACTTCCGATTGTGTGTGCTGTATATTTTAGGTGTTAGAAATCAGCTGCTAGGAAAAAGAAACAATTAATATTTACTTAGGAGCTTAATTTTTTTTTTTTGAGAAACATTTGGGAACTTAGAAGAAGGTGGATTCAAGATCACTGTAATTGACCTAACTGGTTCTGGAATGGACTCCTCAGATGCAAACAGCATTAAAAGTCTCTGACAATATGTTAAGCCTCTTCTTGATTTTCTTGAAATTTGACTTGAACAATCCTTCATGTTCCATCATAATGTAGGCCATTTTGGCTGGGCATGATTTTGGAGGTGCTTGTATATCATATGCTATGGAGGCTTTTCCACAAAAAGTTGCAAAGGGCTGTTTTTGTTGCTGCAACAATGTTGACAAGTGGACAGAGTGCACTTGATTTGTTCTCTCAACAGGTATGCCTTACAATCTGTGTATCTCTTGCCATGATGAAATACATTTGATATATACGTGGTTGTTGATCTTGTGATCTTGGAAGCTATCCCTTATCGTATTCCAATAGTTTCTGTGAAGCTATAGTACGTGCTGTTATTTGCTTTTTGGTTATCTGCATGTCGCTAAACAAGGAAATGACCTTCTGACATCATGCTCAAGATGATTGTAAGAAATTTGTTATTTAAATTCATTGGTTGGTAGAGAATGTTTCTTATCTTTGTGAATTTTGATCGCAGACGCTATAGAGCCCATTATCTCCCCTTCTCTGGATACTTCCATTAGGGCCAGGCTACTTTTGCTTGGGGCCTTGATTTCTTAATGAGCTCATGGTATTTAGAGAGTGGAGAGTGGAGTTGTTATATTGTAACAATCCTAAACTTTCAAAATAAAAAAAAAAAAAAAATATAGATAAATAAATAAATAATTCTTTATAGTGTGATGGTCCATATAAATATTATGGTCCTTAGGGACCATCACCACTTTTGTTAACCTTTTACCTTTCATATACCACAT